GAGCCGAGCCGAGCCGAGCCGGGCCGAGCCCAACCGGGCCGAACCGGGCCGCGCCGCGCCGCCCCGGCCTGGCCGCCGCGTAACGCGCCGCTCTCCTTCCCCGTGCAGGCTGGACTTCGCACACATGTTCCCGCTCTACAAGCCGCGGAGGGGGCTCAAGCGCGGCGACGACAGCAAGGTGAGTGCTGCGGGGCTGCGCGGGGCGCCCTGCACGGCGTGCGCCCTGGGCTGCTCGCGTGCCCCTGCATTGGGTGCTGTGCCTCCCGTGGGGTGCTCTGCGATGCACTAGGGTGCTCTGCTCGTGCTGGGGCGCTGTGCATTACACTGGGGTGCTTGTGTTGCTGTGCACTAGGGTGCTGTGTATTGGGGTGCTTGCACTGCTGTGCTTGCTCTGGGGAGCTGGGTGTTGGATTGTCTGTATCCCTGTGCACTAGGGTGCTGTCAGGGTGCTGGGTATCGCTGTGCATCCCTGTACTGGTGTTAGGGCGCTCGTGTTAGCGTGTCCTGCCATGGGTGCATTAAGGTGCATGTGTTGCTTATTTTCTCCAAGAGGCTCGCTCAAGGGAGCGGAGCGGTCCCGTTGTGCGCCGCGGGGCAGCGCGCCTCATGCAGCGGGCGGTTTCGGGGCGCCGTGGCGGCGGGGTGTCCCGCGGCCCTGCCGGGTGCTGCAGCGCGCTGGAGCACCCACTGCCTTGCAGGAGACCTACAAGCTGCCGCACCGGCTCATCGAGAAGAAGCGGCGCGACCGCATTAACGAGTGCATCGCCCAGCTGAAGGACCTGCTGCCCGAGCACCTCAAGCTCACTGTAAGCACGCGGAGCCCTGGGTGCTTGCGGCTCCCCCAGAGCACTGCGCTCACTCTGAAAATGCCCCCTTCCCACGGTCCGCTCCGGAGCATCCCCATTCCCGGGCTGTGGAAGCTCCACTCCGGGAAGCGGAGCCGCGGCACTGTCCGGGGGCCCCTGTCCCCTGGCGGTCGCCCGAGCTGTCCCTTGGTTGCAGACGCTGGGGCACCTGGAGAAGGCGGTGGTGCTGGAGCTCACGCTGAAGCACGTGAAGGCGCTGACCAGCCTCATCGAGCAGCAGCAGCAGAAGATCCTGGCGCTGCAGAGCGGCTTGCAAGCCGGTGAGTGCCCGTGGCGCCGCCGCAGCGCTCGCGCCCAGGAGGAGAAGGAGGAGGAGGAGGAGGGAGCCGCTCTGCCGCTTAATCACCTTCGTTTTCTCTCGCTATGCTTATGAGTCTGCAGGAAAAGGCGCTTTTCACTTCTCGGTTCGGTTGGTTCAGGGCGCCCTGGGAGCCTGTTTTAAAATTAACATGAGTGGTGCTGGCTTTGCCGAAAGCTTGATTTTTGCTTTCTATTCAAAGCCATCCGGACCTCCCAGCTCACTTTCTTGAGCTTTAGATCAGATTTTTAGTCTCATCAGAGTACGAGAGCCTCTGCTTTTTATTATTATGGATACACCTTTTGCAGGTCCCTCTCCCTGCTGGCCGGCAGGGAGGGGGCCGGGGCTGGCAGCTTATCGTGCTTGCAGTGCACTTCCTCCTCCTGCTCCCGCATGTGGTTCTCACGTGAATCTGATAAAGTCAAATTCAGCCGTTCTAAAGAGGCTTCCACCACTTTCATAGCCACGGGGCTTTACGCCACAGTCGTGGAGCTGGAGCAGAATCGCCCCTGGGTTTCTGGAACTGGTGGGGAGTAAATGTGCTCCAAGGGCTCTTTCTGGTGGTAGAGAAGCAGGTTGCAGTCTGGCTTTTCAAGTTATTTCTTTTGCCTGACGAGGTCCTATGTCAGCTCGCTTCTGCTTCTCCATACCTGTGCATGTATTAACGCTGTCATGCATGGGAAGCTTGGAGATGGAAGACAAATTTGAATTTCACATATAGAAGCTGGATGTTGAAAAGTAAAAATGCGTGTCTGTACAGGCATGATTTGGGGGAAGGGGCGCGAGGCCGCGCTGGCCACCCGGCTCCCTGGCGGAGCCGCCGGCAGCAGAGGCCGTCGGCCAGGTTTCCGGGTGCCGCGAGGTCGGCGGTGGCGCAGCGCGGCTCAGCTCCCTGTTAATTTTTAATTCCTCCTGTCGCCGTGTCCGCAGGCGACCTGTCCCCGAGGAGCCTCGACTCCGGCCAGGAGATGTTCCGCTCGGGCTTCCAGCTGTGCGCCAAGGAGATGCTGCAGTACCTGGCCAAGCACGAGAGCGGCAAGGAGCTGAAGTGCTCGCAGCTGGCGGCCCACCTGCACCGCGTGGCCGCCGAGGCGCTGCCCGGCGCCGCCGACAAGGCGCCCGCCAAGGCGCCCGAGGGCCACGGCAAGAACTGCGTGCCCGTCATCCAGCGGACATTCGCGCACTCCAGCGGCGAGCAGAGCGGCAGCGACACGGACACGGACAGCGGCTACGGCGGCGAGCTGGAGAAGAGCGACGCCAAGGCGGACGCGCCGTATTTCCGCAAGGACAGCGAACTCAAGTACACCGTGCAGGAGAGAATAAGCTCCATTAAGCAAGAGACTGAGGACCCGCCAGCCAAACGGAGCCGGCTGGAGGTGCCTGAGGACGAGGGCCCGTTCGGCAGCGACGTGCTCGGCCCGGCCGGCGCCTACCTGGGCCCCCACGCGCACCAGCCGCCCCTGTGCCTGCCCTTCTACCTGATCCCGCCGTCGGCCACCGCCTACCTGCCCATGCTGGAGAAGTGCTGGTACCCGGCCTCCGTCCCCGTGCTGTACCCCAGCCTGCCGGCCTCCGCCGCGGCCCTCACGGGCTTCATGAACCCAGACAAAATCTCCCCGCCGCTGCTCATGCCCCAGAGACTCCCGTCGCCCGTGCCGGCCCGTTCCCCCATCGACTCCTCGGCACTGCTTCAGGCGCTGAAGCAGATTCCCCCTTTGAACTTGGAAACCAAAGACTAAGACTAAGCGCAGCGTGGCTCCTTGGCTTGCTCGATTTTGGTTTTTTTTTTTTTTTTTTTTAAAAAAAAAAAAAAAAAAAAAAAAAAAAAAAAAAGCAAAAGTTTGAGACTGTTTCACTTTTATGGCTGGACTGAGGTGTGGGGATGCGGCTGGCTGTGCGTGGGAAGCTGGATCCCCTCTCCTCCGGCCTGTCGGGGAGCCTGGCGAAGGATGGAGGATGCGCCCCGGGTAGCTCTGGAGGAGGAGGACTTCCCAGCGGAAAAGCAGGAAAAAAAAAAAAAAGTCGGGGGGGGAGGGCAGGATGTGCATTACTCCTTCCCTCTCCCTGTCTGCAGGACGACGGTTGACTTAGTCAGCTCGGATTATGTTTCAAAGCTGTGAAAAATATTCCATGAGGCAGGTTTAGAGTTTTTAGGGTGTGTGAACTGAAGAATACGGTACTTGCTGAGGGGCTGCGGGGGCCGGGCCGCGCGCAGGGTCTGGCTGCGGGGCCGAGCCCCGAGGAGCAGGTGCTGGTGGCTGTTGCACAGGCAGAGGGTCGGGGAGGCTCCAGCCGGGTTTCTCGCCCTGCCTTTGCCCGTACATATCTCTCTAGTTTTTAATAAATAAAAGGTAGCTGCTGCTTGGAAGCTTTACATGGCGTACATCTAATAACTAAACGGGCACGCGCCCCTTCGTGTAACTTGAGCTGCTAGTTGGGGCCGCTGTCCCCTGGGTCACCCCGCTCGGGGCGCCTGCGCCGCGGCCTCTCCCGCTGCTCCCGCTCCGACGCCTGTGTCCTGGAGCCCCCTTGGGAAAGGGGGAGCCGGGTGGTGTCGCGGCCGCTCCGCAGGGCAGCACCGGTGGTTTAATGCTCACCCCGTTAAACCCCAGGGCAGGGAGGCGTCTCTGTACCGCGGCGCAGCGTTGTGCCCAGCCAGGCCCCGAGCCTGCCCCAGCCCGCTGCAAAGGCGGCGTTGGAGCCGTGTCCGGAGGGAGCGTCCTCAGCCCTTCCACTTCGTCCCCTGCGCCAGCTCTGAGATGCACTATGCTTGATTGCAGGCTGTGTTCCAGCGGTTATTTTGTTGGTTTTTTTAATTTGCATACAGTTGTTGCCTTTATTTGTAAAAAAAAAAAAAAAAAAAAAAAAAAATCCTGTTATATAAATATATATTATATAAATATATTAAAAGGTAAAATGTTTCAGATGTCTATTATTTGTATAACTACTTGAGCATAAAGAAGTGAGGAACATGAATGTATTCTTGTTTGGGGGGTTGTCTTTTTTTGAAGAGCAGAATTTTATTGTTTTTTCTCTAAGGAGAGGTACAGTGTTTATATTTTGGAGCCTTCCTCACGGTGGGATATTGTACATATTTTTATCTCAAGTCTATGTTAAGTAGTTGTTTAAAAATACTTAATAAAATAACTCTTTTCCTGTGGAAGACGAGCGTTTGCCTCCTGTGCTTGTGCATAGGGGATGGGGGTGGTTCCTTGGGGCTGGGGCAGCTCCCTGGCTGCACCATCCTCCTCCCCAGGCCCTGCGTGTCCCTCTGTCCAAGTGTCTGTCCATCCCCCTCCCCGGGCAGTGGCAGCCGCTGCCCGAGGGCGACGTGGACCTTGGGATGTTTCCCTGCAAATTTCCTCCGCGCTCGGAGCTTTTCCCGGCGGGCTGGGGCTGCCAGGGAGAGCTGACGCTTTCCCACGTTTCGCAACTGCCCGTTCCCCTGGAAAGCCACCCAAAAGCGGGCGGGGGGGCGGCGGAGACACACGGCGCGGCGCAGACGAGTTCCCCAGACTTGTTTTCACGGTCTCACCCAGCTCTGACCTGCCTCCGCTGTTGACACAATGTCACGTTTCCGACTGCAGCCTTTCATGTGCAGCCGGAGGCTAAATGCGGCTGCCGGTTCCTGGAAAAAGACGTGCCTGGCACGGGCTCAGCAGAAACCCGAGCCCGCGCCGCCCGGCCCGGCGGCCGCCCAGCGGGACGGGACTGGACGGGATGGGATGGGACGGGGCGCGCTTGGCGCCGCTGCCGCCCCTAGCTGGGGGCTTCCCGCGTGGCCGCTCCGGCTCCGTGGAGCGGCCGCCACGGGCACGCGTGGGGCCGGCCCTGGGTGCGCAGTGGCCCTGGGGCAAATGTGGCCCGAGGGGATTTGCTGTTAACACCCCCCACCCCGTGCCCGCTCTGCCAGCGCCCGGTGCCTCCCGGGAGCCGGGGACCCCGCCAGGCCGCTCATAATTTTAGCTTTTCGCCACCTGTTTGGAAAGCGGCTTGAGCCCCGGGCCGGGATGGGACGGGCTGCTGCTTGCCGGCAGCCGCCCCGGGAGCTGCGTGTTTGCATTATGCATGGGCCAGGGCCGAAAATAATCCGCAGTGACGCACGCTTTTTTGCCTCTTTTTTTCTTTTTTTTTTTTAAGGATCCCGTTTTCCTTAATGGGCCTGTGGAGGCCGGTGCCGGGGGCTCACGGGGGCTGCCGGCTCCGCGTGTCCGCGGAGGCGCATTGCGAGATCCCTTGAACCGTGTCCCTGTGGGGACGTGTCCCCCCGGAGGCGCCGCGCGGCCACGGCACATTCCCGGCCGGCACATTCTGGGAACAGCAGCCAGTGCGTGGCGGGAGATCCCGCGGGAGCGCAGTGCAGGCTGGGGGCGGAGGGTCCTGCTTCCATCTGCGGTTTTGCCACAATTCATAAACAGCCTCTAAAGCCCCGGAGGTGCCGGGGCCGCCGGGAGCCTCCCGCCCTGCGGCTGCTCGCGGGCGCCTGGCACCCTGCGCAGGACACGGGCTCCCTCCGTGCCAGGCGGGCGCATCCGGCGCCGGGCGCCGTCACGGGACCCGACACACGGGACGTGTTCTCGGCGGCGCCCGGCACAGCAGACCCTGTCCACGTGCCATCAAAGGAGGGGTTTTTCCCTCTCCCCTTCAGCACCCTGCGCGCTGCCCACCAAACCACATCCGCCGAGCCCGGCGGAGCAGAAACTAGGCCAGGGCTTGGGGGATTTCTCCCGCCCCGGCATGCCACCTCAGTGCCGCTTCGCAGTGCCAGGGGACCCGGCCCGGGTGCTGCTTCCCCCAGAAAGCAGCACTGGGGACCACACTTGGCTCCCCGCTGGCGACACGAAGCCGCCTGGCATTTCAGTCTGCATCCAGGCAGAGGGGAGAGGCACCCATGGGCAGAGAGCTGCCGGCGCCGGCTCCCCGCAGCCGCACTGGGCTCCCGGCCCCCGGGGAGGTTCCCACGTTTGGCGAGGACACAGCCACGTTATTGTTTTATTTTGCAACCCACAGGGACCGGGCCGGGCGTTTCTGACGCGCCTGTCGCCATCCCCGCGGCGAGCGCTTTAGTCACGCCTAGTGCGCAGGCATGTGAGCGCGGGCGCGGGCAGGGAGTCTCCGGGACTTTGCAGAGATTAAAGATTTATGCTGACCCTCGAGTCTGCTCCCGGGGCCGCTAATCTGCCCTGATCCTATCGCTGGCCTGGCTGGATCCATTTCACTTTCCTGCCCGGCGCTGCCGCCTCCCGCGTGCCCACGCAGGGCTGCTCCGCCTGTGGCGCCCGGGACCTGCCGCGGGTGCAGCCCCTGAAGGAAACCGGCCGGGATAAGATAGGCCCGAGCTGAATGCTTGGAAGCCGCTCCCAGCCGGGCTGGGGCTCGGGAACAGGGCTGAGCTCCTTGCCTGGCAGCCCCGAGGGAGCTGCGAGCGGCGCCCTGCAGAGCCCCGTGCGCCGCCCGGCGGCCTCTTGGCCTGGGCACCCGCTGCAGGGAGCCGGGCCTGGGCTGTGGAGCCAGGAGATCCTGTTGCAGCTCCGCCGGGACGCCCTGTTCTCCCCACGGCCGCTGACATGTAAATATAGCAAAGCCGGGCGCTCTGCTCCGGCGCCCTGCGGGGCCGCGCTCCGCTGGAAACACCCATCCGCAGCGCTACGGAGGCGGCACGCGCTATTTTTAGCCCCAAAATGAAGTTCCTGTTTGCAAGGCCAGAAGGGTTACGGGGAAACAAAAAAAAAAAAAAAAAAAAAGATGAAGCAGGAAGCAGGACCACTTGCTAGTGTGCTGCTTTTCAGGTGTCCGTCCGTCCTTCCTTCCTTCCTTCCTTCCTTCCTTCCTTCCTTCCTTCCTTCCTTCCTTCCTTCCGGGAAGCCGGACACAGCCTGTTGCGACCCTAGCCCGTGATGCCGGAGAACCAAGGAGAGCCGGGGCGCGTGGTCTGGAGCCACGGTAGCTGAGGGGACGGAGCGGGGCACGGGGCAAGGCCGTGCGCGGCGCAGCCTCTGCATCCCGCGGTCATCGCGACGGGCACCAATGCAGCACTGCTGGAAGCCCCGCAGAGCTTCCGAGGAGCCGGCGGCTCTCCCTGTGTTTATCTGTCCTCGTTTTCTTGGTTGTGGAATAAAAGCTCATCAGGGAGATACTCCCCAGCAGGCTTCTGTGCATGACATTGCAGTGAGATCCACAGTTCCCCCGCCTGCTCGTGCATGCAAAGCAGGCGGGATGAGGATGGCTGCAGACTGTTGGTATTTTCACACGATTTAGCCAAGTAGAAAATACGCACGTAGCTGGAAGAATGAGCACGAACTGGCAACATGTCGCAGCGCAGTGGGATGCCCCAATGGAAACTGCAATCCCAGACCTGAGATCCTCACCAGCATCCCTCACCAGCTCCCTCTGGGCACGGGATCCCCCCATGTCCTCGGCTTCCCGGGCTCTGCGGGGTGATGCTGCACTCCATGGGCCTGCTTGTCCTTATGGTGGAGGCTACGCAGCCACTGCAGGCGGCACCGGGCATCCCATGACCCCATCCCGGGATTACCCCCCTTGCTCACGACCATGCGGAAAAACGGGAGAAAGAGAGCAGAGGAGGTCCCCGCCACGGTGCGGGTGCAGCCACGTGGACAGCCCCACGCAGCTCCGCAGCGCGTGTTCCAACCGGAGCCCCGCGAGGAGGCCACGCAGCCGGAGGCTCCGGCGGGCTCGCACCCCCCTCTGCTGGAAAAGCCCCGCAAAGGCACTGGAGCGGCCGGCGGAGGCAGGAGGAGAGGCCCGTGCGGCGGCCGGGGTCACTGGGGCCT